TCTTCTTTCCATAAGACAAACTCTCATTTGCTCGTGTCTATAACAATTCACCCTCTGTGTTACATATTATGACCTTTGTCCATCTTGTGTTCCGTTTTCACGGAAAACAGCACATTTATGTTCCTTCTATATCACCTTGCAAATTGAATACTTGAACTCTGTACTATCACTTACTGTCCCCATTGTAAATTTATATTATTGTACATTTGATCATGCGCACAAGCATGCTTCACGGGCTTCGTGAAATATACCATTATTATTATTATTATTATTAAACGATCGAATGAGCAAACAAAAGCTGTACAAACCTCAAAGTGATCTCAAAACAACTTGAAAACAAGAGCAATGTGCCATCTTGAGTGTATTTCAACAAATCTGAACGCAGAAAATAAGCTTGTTTTAGAACAGCACGCCCACCGTCAGATAGATTTTGAAATACCACGATCAAATGGTGGTAATATTCATCTACATTGGAAGAGGCAATAAGCAAATCGTCAATGTAAACGTGAACAAAATCATGTTCATCTACATTGGAAGAGGCAATAAGCAAATCGTCAATGTAAACGTGAACAAAATCTAAATCTCGAATTATACTGTCGATAAACCTCTGGAAAATCTGAGCAGCGTTTCGCAAACCAAAAGGCAAACGTAGGAACTCAAACAGACCAAAAGGAGTCGTGATAGCAGTCTTTTTGACATCTTCAGTGGCGACCGTGATCTGATGATAAGCTCTTACCAGATTGATCTTGGAAAAAATAGTCGTGCCATGAAGTGAAGCCGTAATGTCATGTATATGCGGGATGGGATAACTATCGAAACGAGGCACTGCGTTAAGTGACCGATAGTCGCCACATGGTCTCCAGCTAATGCTGTCTATTTTAAGAACCATGTGTAGAGAAGAGGCCCATGGACTATAAGAAGGACGTACGATACCTTGTGAAAGTAACGTGTCGAACTCACTCTTAGCAAAAGCTAATTTGTCCGGCACCATTCGGCGAGGTCGTGCCGTGACTGGTGGACCCTTCGTGACTATGTAGTGTGCAACACGATCAGTCACTAGTGTTAAGTCCTCAATAGGTTTAGTCAACGTGGGGAATCGGGCGATCAATGTCAGGAAATCCACAGGGATATCAGTCATTAAACACGTGAATCGGTAAACGTGTGTGCGGGCTTTGAGACCCGTGACATTGATATTCGATGCTAGGTTGATCAACTGCAGTCTACGTGAATCAACAAGCAATTCATAGTACTGCAAGAAATCGATACCCAGTATTCCAGTGGGGACATTCGCAAGAATGAACGTCCATGGATACCGTCGTTGCTGTCCCAGATTGAACGTGAGTTGTCTTGTTCCAAAGGTAGGAATAGGAGTGCCACTCGCAGCGCATAGCCGAAGCTTCGTAGCTCGTGGTTGCTGCTACCGATAGGAAAGGCTGATACTTTGGCTCCCGTATCTACGATGAACCTAGCGTTCGTTTGATGGTCACGTACGAAAAACAGACGGCCAACCTGATGAGGCGGGCCGACAAGTACGGCCGCTTTTACCCGCCGGCTTACCCTTTTCCCGTCGCGTAGATGCAGGGCTTCCTGCAACTGCAAGCTCCTGGTCCAGCAGTAACGCTCGGTGGGTACACACGGGGCTTTGGGTGGTTTGCGCGAGGGTGGCTTCTGAGCCTTTGGTTGCTTCTGGCGAACGTGGGTAGGCTGCGCTGCCCGTTCCAACCTACGCTTAGCCCTATAGGGGTTTGCTGTGTGCACCGGGACTCTGTCATTCAAAGACAAGCGCTGGTGTATGCAATGTGGTCGTGGCTGTGAAGGCCGTACCGCATATTTATCCCTATTCCCCCTATACGGTTCCGATGTCGTGGCAACGAGGAAATTATCCTCTTTACCGACACGTGCAACTATCTTATCTGCAATCGACGCAGCTTTGTCGATTGGGGAGTCTTCCAGCAGAGCCGTTACCGTTGGTTGGACGTGACGTGGCAACGACTGGAACCACAGCTCTCAGACAATGCCAGAGTGGGCGTTTGCTGGGCCGGCTAGCGAGCGCAGACGCGCCAGATGCCTACTTAGCGTCGTGTAACCGATCGGGTGAAGAGCCAGCAACTGGCGTATCCTCTCCTCGTTAGAGGGGCTGTAGAACTGAAGGATTGCTGCCTTCATAACGTCGTACGCATCCTTTTCAGGTGGTTTAAGGATAATATCCCCAATGGCGGACATTCGGTCACTAGGGATCGCCTCTACTGCGTGAAAATATTTGGAGCGCGTGCGCCGCACTTTACGGGCGGCAAAATGCGTTTCTAACGCAGTATACCGCACCTCGGGGTCATGAGGGATGAAGGCTTCTGGCTTAAAACTAATAGCCAGTAGGTTCAGCTCCCTATCGTCTACTGTTGGACGTTCTTCAGACATGGTACAAAAGCGATAAAGAATTATATCGTGCGAATGATAACGATCCGTGAGGAAAAAGTGCAAACCCAATTGGAATTGACTTACCAAGTAGACAGTGCGGACGCACTAATGAAGCTAACCGAAGTTGACGGCCTGCCGGTAAGTCTTCTTACGAGTCTCAAAGTGCGCGCGACCTTTTAGTGTCTTTTTGCCGAGGTAGATAAAAACACTCGTGAGGGTCTCAAACGTTTATTGGTGAATTGTGGTATTAGATAGTACCGAAACGTGCCAGGCTGACGCTAAACAATGCAAGCAATAAATGCAGTAGCAAAGCGAAAGCGTGTCACAGGTGTTGCGTGGGTTTGAACAAGACCCAGCTTATATATACACCTGAGCGGAAAACCGTGCTCGGTAAAACAAACAGAAGTAAAACAAAGAAATATTGCAGTTGGAGTCAGAGTTGATTGTGAAGAAAATATGAACGGAAAACGTCCTCGTGGATTGCTCCTTTTCTTTGTACAATCGTGGTCACTACATTGACCCCTGTAGCCGTTGGGACCGTACGAAATGTTCGGAATACTCGTGTGTCACAAACTTCTCGTACAAAAACGGTGAAGTTGAATGGAGCTGTGGCCACTGCAAGAAAGCAGCGCGCCAAGCCTGGAAGTTTCATCAAGCCGAAATACACGACAAGAGTGTCGCGATTATTTCCGAGCAACCGCGGAAACTCAAGCGGACGCCCCAACACCAGCCTCCATAAAAAGTTCAGACAGCAAGCTGCTAGACCTATGGCACAGCGAAAGATCATAACCATAGATAAAAGGGTAAATCCGAAGCGGCCCCCCATGGAAACGCATTATATACGGAAGAGACCTCAAAACAAAAACGGTGTAGCCTTATTACCCCACCGAAGTATGTCTCGGTCTTAAGCACTCCTATCCCCAGAAACCCTGGAATGCGCACGCCTCCAACAGTAGTGAGTCGCATATATACCCATGCTAGGAGTCCCCCAGATCCAAAGCCTACCGGGAAGCTGAAACCTCGACGAGGAGATGCACCCAGGCCGGAGCACAACTGCCACGGAGAAAGTCGCTCCTCCCCAGATAAGCTGGAGAAACTAGATTGTGTACTTCGCGAAGTACACGCTCTTAAATCAGTATATAAGCTATCTATGGGAAGAAACAGACACTGATTACTAATGTCTTCCCAGAGATCTTCGTGGAGGATACACGTGCCAGGAGTCAGAGGGACTCGTGACCTAGTAGATGCGATAATACAAAACGCAGGAGCGGTAGATTCCGTGCGTACCAGAAAAATTCACCGCATCTGCAAGTGGGAGCCGGAAGGAAGTATCACAATACCCAGGTCGTTGTTAGTCTACTTCCGCTCTCAAAGGGACCGGGACACCATACCGACGGTAGCGCACAATGTACTGGAAGCGCTAGAAGGTAACATGAAAATTACCACGGATATGGTGAGTAAATCTTTTTCCCAGCGCAAGCGAACAAAGTTGGCTCCCACCAAGAGCGGCCACAACAATCTACCCGCAGTTGTCGTGAGCCAGTTGGAGATAAAAGTACCATCGCCAAGTATCGCAGCAAACAAGAGGAGGTCCGACTCCGTAACAAAAGAGTGTTCTAAGTCCACAGATAATATTACAAACGCCAGAAAGCGCAGACTGCCAGCGTTAGAAAAAACCTGCGAAGCCTTCGAAAATATACCCCGAGAGCGATCCCGGCTTTTCCTCAAAAGGGAAAGAGTCACACCATAAGCGGTGCCATGACAAATGCCTGCAGCATAATAAGTAAAAGGGACGAGCTGGCTGTCTTACAGAAGTCGAGTTCGCCTTAATAACAGAGAGATGGCTCTCGGAAGGCATTGAAGTGGGTCCTATTAGTAACAGCTTCACTGCTTACAGGTCAGACAGACCTAAGCGGATCCAGGGGGGGTGGAGTAGTCTTGTTGGTCAGAGACCACATTAAACAGGCACCAATCCTACCCATCTACGAATCCGGAAATGTCCAAATGCTAGCGTGTTTGATAGGTTATCCGGCAGTACCAACCCTGATAGAAGTGTACCGAAGCCCTTGGGCGACGCTGCTCGAAAATGTTGAGCTGATTAATAAACATCTAGACTTGATGAAGACTCCCCTCCAACTATGTATCATGGGCGACTTTAACGCCCCAGGGATACACTGGGAAACTAAAACTAAAAAGGGCCATGGTTTCGAAAACCAGTAATCAGAACTGTTGCACGAAGGCTGGCTCCAGCAACACATCACGTGGTCAACCAGATTCAGAGAAGCGCAAATCCCGTCGACCCTAGAACTACTGATTACACGGGGCGAAGGAGAAGTTCAAAATCTACTCGGTGGAATCCACTAGGAAAAATTGATCGCATCGTGATCTTGTTCGACCTAGTGCTGAAGGTTTCGGTGGGACAAAGCAGGATAACTAGGTTTTACAGTAAAATCGACCACGTCGCACTTTTAAGTGACGCCCGTGAACTCAGTTGGGTTACCGATGGCACACCAGCCACGGAGTCAAAGTGGAAGTTCATCAAACAAAATATAATTAGATGGACGTACAAACACGCAACGTTAACAGTGTTTAAAAGTCAAATGCTTAAGCCTTAGTTCACGGCCAAAGTTCGTAAGGCGTTACGGAAACGGAACGCCGCCTGACATAGATACACAGTGCTAGAAAAATTCGCTAACTGTCGGCAGTACATGTATTCATTGATCTGTGAAAATCCATTCTGTAAAGCCCAATCAATCTACCTTGAACCAACATTTCGTGAATTTCACTTTTCATTCACTCAACACCATCCGCCTCATCCATACATACATACACATTCCACCTCCTTTTATATTTACACATCGATCCTATAATTTGAATTTGTTTGTTAATCTGCCTTATTCGTACCCTACTTGTTTTAACCGCCACCTGAGCGTTCACATGTGGCTCATTCGTGTGCAGCGTGACGGTGGGCGTACTGTTTTTACACAAGCTTATTTCCTGCGTTCAGATTTGTTGAATTACACTCAAGGTAGCACTTGGCTCTTGTTTTCAAATTGTTTCGAGATAACTTAGAGGTTTGTGCATATTTATTTGCTTATTTGATCGTCTATTATTGCAGTACCGTAGGAACTTACTGTATCATTCGTTTTTTTACGTTTCGGGATTTGATTTAGGCTACGCATTACTCGTTGATCTATTCGGGAGACACAGTACACGAGGCTAAGAAATAAAGCAGTCCGTATATCGAGATCAACCCGAAGTCAGTATGAAATAAAACTGGCAAGGGACATTAAAACATGAACGCAATGTTCTTTAGCTACGTCCATTCACAAGCTAGGTCCCGAAGGGCCATATTTTTGCCTATGCATTTAGGGACAACAACCCTAGGCACGGACCAGGGTATTGCAGACGCATTTGGAGACCACTTTCAGGCAATCTTCGGAGCAGAGACGATTATAGACGACCTCGTAGACGAGAATATTGCAGGACCATACATTACTAGCTGGATCATGGAGCACGAAGAGGTCCTTTCTCTGAACTCCGGACCCAACCCGACGAAATCAGCCGGAGAACCAGAGAACCGGCACCCAGCGGTTTTAAAACCACAGACACCGGCAATCACTGAACCCTAGCATCACTGTTCAATCAGTCGATGTCAACAGGCATAGTGCCGGCCGACTGGTGCAGAGTAACGATGGCCCCCATCCACAAAAAGGAAGATGCAGCTAATATAGAAAATCATGAACCGATTAGCTTGACCAGCATTGTTTCCAAAGTAATGGGGCGGATAATAAGAAAAAACTAGCGGAGTACCTAATAGGCATGCAGTTCTTTTCAAAAGCATAGCACGGATTCCTCAACGGTCGTTCCTGTCTGACCAACCTTTCAGTATTTCTAAACGAAGTAACTAGCAGGTTAGGCAAAAAGGAACTAGTCGAAGTTTGCTACTTCGACTTCCGGAAAGGTGTTAGACTCCGTTTATCACATGCTATTATTGCATAAATTAAGGGTTACAGAGGCTCCAACCCAGTTTTATAACTGGTTATCTAGTCTACTTCACGATCGCACATACCAGGTAAAAATACAATCCACGATCTTTAGCGCAGGAAAAGCGATTAGTGGTGTCCCCCAAGGGTCAATAATAGGACCACTCCTCTTCCTCACATTTATCAATGACCTGTTCGAGGAGGTCGAAAATCCAAGCCCCATTTAAGCAAACGACGTCAAAATAGTTGGCGGTTCGTCCAGTCGTCAGCCAATACAAGACGAATTAGAAAGGCTCTCAGCGTGGATGTTAAGGTGGGATCTACCGCTGAACGCAACCAAATATCGTGCTCTAAGCAAAAATGCTTCGGAACTTCCCCTGCGGCCTACACTCCAAAATCAAGAAGGAAACAAGAGAGGTGTGCCAAGGACCTTGGGGTTACAATCTCAGCCAGCTTTGCACCTAGCAAACATTGCGCCGAAGCAGCCCACAGGGCTAAGAGAGCGCTTTTTGCAATCAGAGCTGCAATAACCAGCCGAGAAGCAGATGGATTCATCCCTTTGTATAAGGCACTCCTTAGACCCCACCTAGAATACTGCACCCAAGCTTCAGCTCCCTACCGAATAATGGACAAAGACAGATTAGAAAAAGTGCAACGGTTAGCCACCAAAATGGTTGGTAACACCAAAAAGCTATCCTACGATGATCGGCTTCGGAACCTGAACCTATTTCTATAGACGATTCATCCCACGCGCTGCTGAACGATTGCAACCTCTTACGGACCTACTTCGTGGTAATCCACGTAAGCTCATGCTTAC